TCTTTTCTGTTTTACTCAGTAGGGATGTTTGTGTTTAGGATTGCATGCAATGAGTATGCATAATATTTAGCTTTCTTCTTGTCATTGTTTACAGTGTATGCTGCCTCTGTGTTGGCAAACCATATTTCCCATTAGGGACAAAGCACAATGGATAGCACAGAAAGAAGAGAGTCAGTCTGGGTTTATCATTACATTTAGATTGGGAAATCCCGTGACCCAGTGCCTTTTTTTTTTGTAACCTTTTTGTGTCTTCTACCAGGCAGCAGATTAAATTAAGCAAGGTAGAGAATTTAAAGGAAATCCTCTGTTCCTTTTGCTCAAGTTGCTGGCTGGGTCTAGGGCATTTTATGGGGATTGAAAGAGAACTTCCTTTGGAAGCTTTCCATTTACTTGTGTATCTGCATGTGTACAGATGGTGGGAGTTCTGGAGCTCTCCAAATATTTGCTGATTCAAACACACTTAGGCAGCTCTGCTGTGACTCAGTCCTCCCTAGGCTACAGCTGGAAAGAGAAAGGTTTCTCTTATACTGCCCCAAATACCTATGATTCAGTAGGATACAAAATACATCCTCAGGTGAGCCTGGTAGTTCAGGTAGGAGTAGAGGTGCTTTGGCAGAGTTAAGACTGCTAAGTCTGCTGCAATTTCACTTCAAAGCCCTGCAGGTTGGGTTATACCATCACAGGGGAAATACCACACTAATCCATCCATTGTGCCACCTGCTTCAGAACACTGAGGAGCTTTCAAACCACTGAGTCAATCTGTGCCCCAGAAAACGTTTATAATCTAACCAGACAAAATCAACAGAGATGGGTGTGACCAAGGAAACAATATATGCCAAAGTCACATCGCTGGCCTATGCAAAGGCAGAGAGACCTTACAGAGTGGTCAAGACAATCCTGCCTGCTCAGTCACACTGTGCAAACAGTGGCCACGTTTCCAGCACAGTCTATCAGAAGTATATTACTCCATTTACACTATTTAAGTAATAATATTGTGCCTTGCACTCAAAAAAACAGCTAAGGTATTTGCAGCCAGGTATTTCTAAGATGGATATCTAAAAAATTAGATTGAAATTCTCTTAGTTTTGATTTCAAAAATGTAGCTTTTTAGAAGCTTACAGAAGAGGCACTTAGGTAGTCACTGCCTAAGAAAGACGTGTAGTCTGAAGAAATACTCCTTTCTTCCAATGGAATTATGCTATATGATACAAGTGTTCCTTGTAGCTCGCTTACACACTTACGCTCTCACAGTTCCCACAAGTTTGGTCTGCAACCAAAAGCAAAGAATTAATTCACAATTTGATTCGCATTAAACAATGGCATGATTTAAATAGATAAGGTTTACTTATTAAGGAATCCTCCAGATCCTCTACTGGAAGGGAAGATGACCTTGTAAAAGCACGTAGATACATTATACAAAAGGCCTGAATTTGTCTCCTTTTTCCTCACAGAATTCAGTGGAAAAATGCAAACTGCTGTAATGAGAGTTATAAACTACCATTGCTCAAATCTGACTTTAAAATTTGGTTTATTTAGAACATAGAAATACACATGAAATTTAATCAGCATCTCAAGTCACATTATGTACTCTCTGCTTGACAGGAACTGAGCACATAAATTAGCTGAACTGGGAGCTAGTCCCAGATCCATCCCTACTTGACTACAGCACCTCTTGCTAGGAACTTCCAGCAGGGGAAGCTCTTAGCACATCAGTATCTCCACACTTCAGACGAGAGCAAAGTTTAGTAGAGACCGAGCTGGGGAGGGGTGGGGGAGAAAAGTGAGTGAGGAGGAGGAGGGGGGGGTGGTGAAGGAAGGGAAGAAAATAATCAACAGTGTCATAAATAGTTGCATTAGAAAATTAGAGAAAAAATATGATTTTGATCGGATGCTCTTGTTGCACCTTAGAAGTTAAAATCATATATAGACAGGGTGTGTAAGAGTGGGTGGCAGAGTATTTATGTATGAAACTTTGTGGCTTACAATACTCCTTCTGTGAGGGAACAGCGTCCAGTTTGGGACTGACAGGCAGCCTTCAAGCTTTGTGCCAGCACACTAATCCCTTGTCTGTGGCTTACTGAAAAAATACTTGCATTTTTGTTCCCAGTTCACCTTGGCGAAAAAAACCAATTCCACATATGATAAATCCAGTGTCTACAGAAAGGCAGTCACCTAATTGCACAGCGAAGCAGAAGAAAGCCTTGCAAATGGTATACAATTTTCAAAGTGTTCCAAGCCTTAGGCAAAAGCCTTTCAACTATGTCTAAAACTGAATGATAAAATATGTTGTACAAATTATCTGTGAACAGGAAACATGTGGTAGTGGCAGGGGACTGAAATGTAACACTTGTAAAGAAATGGGAACTGCCAGTCATTTATACCCTTTTACTTTTCCTTCAGTCACAAGTTCCATCATATTTTTTTTCACCATCGGTTGATGTTCAAGTTTATAATAAGACATTTATCAGATCTCACTAGGCCAATTACAGCTTTGTAGCAAAAACAACAAGAAATAATACCCCATAAGAAACTAAAGGTTTAGCTTTGTCCCTTTCTTCATACTTTTATAGAATTTCTGTTTTATCATTGCGAGGATGCGTGTGGATGGAATTTTGAAAGAGTTTCAGTACTGCAGAAATGCCTGAGATGCCAGTCATCTGCACGTTAGATTAAATTAATCAAAAGTTGAGAAAACTTTCTAAAGTCCTGTCTATAAAGTAGTATTAAAAAATGAAATAAAGAGAGAGAGAGAGGATGAAAAGGGAAATGTACAATTACTGTTCAACAGGAATAAAAAAAAACACACCAAAACACCTTCTATTCTGAAAGCTCATTTCTACTTCCTTGCTCTTAAAGTTCCTGAAGTAATGGTGTATCTTATACCTTCTGTTTTTTAAAAAGTAATCTTTATCACCAACACCAGCTACTGTGCACTTTGGTCCTCATTGATGGCATTTTTTATAGATTACCTCTAGAAGAACACTTTGAGGGGGAGACAAAACAAAAACTTTTTACGTTTTGCTTCATCTTGCACAACAAAAGGAAACAGTATTGCCAAGTCTCAGGAAATGTTTTGGCATAAGGTAAACATGAAATTTAAATGTAGTGCTTAAAAATGCCACCTATAAACAGCTAGAAAAACGAAGACAAAACCACAAAACAACAGCAGGATTTTTATCCATCACATTTTTTAGGTAACCAGATATGTTTATGCCTTAGTTCTTAAAAATATTAGAAACCATAAAGACATAGAAAAGTGTGTGAAAGCCCATCAACAAAGAAAACCTCTTAACTGACTGACTGAAAGACACCCTAACCCTCATTTAAGACTGTATTACTTCTGTGTACTGCTGTCCTAATTAGACCACATTAGGTGTCCTCGGTTTTCTGCAGGGCCAGAACCATTCATGTCCATTGTGATAACATGGCTGTTGTAATTTGGTGAACTGGTGAACATGCAACATTAGTGTCTGTCAAATTGATTTCCTGCTGATATTTCCTGTAATGTATATGGCACAGGGAAGTACTTGAGAAAATAATTAAAATTTTGTTCATATTTGAGATAAAAAGTCTTTCTTTCAAGTTCTGCTAAAAGAATCATTCAGAGGTAAAAGAATTAAAGGTCTTGCAGCATTCTGAGAGACTAATGAAGAGGTTGTGTGATTTGAAGGTTAGCTCATTGGGCTGGGAATCATTAACATAACTAGGCAAACAATCAGATGGAGTTTTTTGATTCGGTGATCGAACCCAAGCACTGGAAAAAATCTCAAGCAGATCTTTCAAAACCGTTTTGTGGTAGTTAAAGCCAAGCCATAGAAAAAATAATAAAAAAAAATTGTGTTTTACTTCAAGCTGTCTTTTTTTACAAATTTGGGTCAGTCTTCCTGGAAGACTAGAAATAGAAAATTTTAAATAGCAAGGGCTAAAAATTTTATTCTGGTCTACTTTATGAGTTTTCAAAGAAGTATTTAATTTAAAAATACTGCAATTAAATCTTTGCAGCCAACCAATTTTAGTGTTTACCCTCCTGTCGTATTTTTCGGCCATGAATATTTACTGCTGAGAATTTGAAACTAGTTTTGCTCCCTGTAGCTGTGCCTGTACTGCAAACCAGTAAAAACTCCTCAGCCTTGGTCTCAAGTCCAAGCTTGGGTCTGATAGAGAACAGAGTGTCTGCTTCCTATGTCTGGATTTACTTTACATGAAAACCAGGAAAGCATGAAATGGTGATGGTGTCTGTTTAACTTTCGCATTGAGCTAGACCCAGGCAGATCCGGGAAGCATTCCTGGCTTCCCCACTGTAAACATAAGCTTTGAAATATTGGGATTTTTGTTTAGCAGTTATATCATTAAGATAAAAAATCCCTCTTGTTGAGTTTTGAAATAAATGTCCAGTTCTATCATGCGATAGCTACATGACTTCTGGTCACTATCTGTATATTTCTGGGCTTAATTTTGCCTGTGAGTACACTGGGAACAATAATAACTTTCCTTTGGACAGAGTTTTGAAATATTTAGAAAAAATGGGCCATATAACTGTATTTATACTGTTCCAATTTATTTGTGCCTTTTGTCTTTCTCCTGTTAATTCCCTTTTAAATCTAATTTTTTAAAAGAACAGAGTAAAATTTCTGCTTCTGAAAACTTTAAGTCCTAACTACCTCTTCCATTCCCTAGAACTATGTTCCTAAATTTATGGACAAAAAAATCCATTGAAGACTAGCAGATATAAAAATATCACCTTTAGCTTAGGAAATGTGCGAGCAGTTGAGTGCTTAAGTCTAGAAGAATATTTAGACTTCAGTTGTGATGCTTATCCTGTTCTGGCACTCTTCCCTAAGCATTTCATACTCTCTACTTCTTTTCTTTGTAAAGATTGAGCAGGGGTGTATTGATCTGTCACACAAGAGACTGGAAACATCATAAAGATGTCCTCAGTCAAATTTCATTCTCAACTGCTCAAACCTCCACCCAAGTAAGCCCTTTCCTGTTAATTTCAGAGTAAGTCACTCTGGCAAAGAAGCAGCATTTCCAGAGGATGCTGGGATTTGTCCTCAAGTTGGTGCTTTGCTGGAATGGTAGGTATCTGAAAGCATGCTCCAGGCATCCCTTTACCAACCCATATGCATGGTGATGCTCTTCTGCTCCAGTTTTTCAGTGAACTCCCTGGCTTCCGCTTGCATTTCCAAAAACATTTGTCCACTGTTCTTTGCAGGAGCTAATGCATCTTCATCTACCCACAGTGAACCAAGGGTCCAGCTTTAACTCTGCATTGAACTGTCTGAAACGGAAGTACAAATTTTCCTCCTTCTGGAATAATATTGTCCACTTCTTGAGACAGGGTATTGGATTTGTTGATTCTTGGCTCTGACCTAGTATGGATATTCTTATCCTCCTTACATCAGGTTGCTATATCATTAGTGGCTCCTGTATGGAATGGAGATAGAGAAAGCAGAATATATTTTACTTGGAATTTTTTATATCTAAATTTATCCCTCAATGCACATGAACACATGAAATAAGGGGTACCCAAACCATGTTCTTTCTTTGCAGGCCATCTTCACTTTAAAAATATCGTGTCTTAATGATCCTAACAAATAATCTCAAAGTAATGACATCTTCATGTAGCAGACTGTCTTTTCTTTCTCCTGAAGAATGCAGCTACTTTCAAGCAAAAAAACAGCTTTGTGTCATAGGGAGATAAGTAGCAGAAAAACTGCATATACAGTGCAATTGCTAGTGATTGGTTGTTAGAGTCATTTTAGAGGCCAAAAATATCTTGCTTGGCTTCTGGTTGCTTGTAAAGAAAAGTGCAGTGCATCTCTTTCTGCCATATCTACCAACCCCATCAGGATGTTTCTAGTACCATGGCTATTTGTTTTTTATTCTTTGCAGTCCTTGGTTTTGTAATACAATGCTTAATAACGATTGCCATTTGTTTGGGTTATTTGTTTTTTTTTTTAAATCGGAACTCTCAAACTGCGGCACATGGACCAGTTCTGGTCTGAAAATCACTTTACAGTTATTATAATGGACGAAAGGACTGTTTGATGCTGTCTCTTGACCTTGTTCCAGATGGTAAGTGTCACTAAAAACATCCAAAACCTCTAAATACTTGCCTAGTATCACAATTGCTACAGTTGCTAGTAAGATGCTATATGAGCACAAATGGGAAGTGAGCAGGTTCAAGAGTCAACCTCTGTAATAGGATGTGTCACTGCTATGATAAATTCCTGTATGGTGTGTCGTATGTCCAGTGAAGTGAAAAATATTATGAATCTATTTTCTGGGGTCTGAAGGTGTGAGGAATTTCCTTGGTACTGGTGAAGATGGACTAACTCAAGTTGCCACAGAAAAAAAGATAGCTACTCTAAGTAGCTATCAGGATTTTCTGAACAGACAGATAAATTCTGTTTCATGCAGACTCTGCTGAAGGAAAATGGAGAAAAGTATGTGTGTCACTAGAAGGGCACATGACTATAAAACAAAAAGATTTTTTGTAAGGGTGTGCCATTGCTCCAACTTGTCACCTCGTCAAAGTGAAAAGAAGGAGTCCCATGTACCCCTGTAGGATCTGCGCTAGGCAGCTGTTGTATATTCCAAGCTATCCTAATAATGAACAGCCTACACTGCCATTAGGTAATCCAACAATAGAGAATTTCTCTTTTGAAAGGTGACAAATTGTTACCTGTGTGCCACATATTCCTGAAATTTTGACCCAAACTCCCTCAGCAACCTGAATGAGTGCTTTTGTTCTTTAAAGGTGAACAATACTCTTCCAAAGCCCCACCACAATCACTTAACAGCTGAATTAACAGTCCAAAGTATTGCTAATTCACTGACTCAGAGGGAAGCTAAATTCAGACCCAGTGAGGCAGATATGTCATGCTGTGGATATTATTTACTTTTCCTGGGTGCTCCTTGCAGTGCCTGGAATATCCTGCACTAACTTTAAGCATTCTCTGTTGGCTGCTTCATATATCGTAGCATCAAAATGGTCTTGCTTCAAGCTCGATAGGAAGCTGAAGCATTATAGGCCTTCGAGAGGAAAGGGAAACTAAGAAACAGGAGAGTGTTGCTGCATAACCAGGAAACTCCCACATGAATAAGATTAACCAATGTTTTCCCCGATTTCTACCAAGTGGCTTTGATAAATTACTAAATACATAATGTCATTTGATTCAAGCTAAATTTTTTGCTGTTTTTCAAATCCCAGTGTGAAAGAATGCTGCTTCTGAGAATGCTACATGACACAGTGGGCCAACATGTTTTTACAATAATAATAATAATTTACATTTTTATTAATAATTTACTTTTGAAGTATCCCAAAATGCTTCACAAAAACCATACATAGAGTGCTGCAGATTTACTGCCTTTGGAAGCAAGGCAGGCCAAGGAGGGAAAACTTTGAATAAGCTTCAGCAATCCCTGTTTTATGGAAAGTATATCTGGTCTTCAGTGCTTACATAGGCAAAATGAGTTCTCAGTTCTTTAATGATCAAATTTTTAAAAGACCAGTGGAAGATGATGAACTAAACCAAATCTGTTAGGAAAGGAGGAACCTTTAAAACTGCTGCTTTAAGGTCAGGAGCTTGTGGTTTAAAAGGAATATATATTCAAGCTTGAAACAGAGGCTTATGGGCTAATGTTTATCCAAAGTTTCCTGATAGGAACAGCGAAATTCTTAATCCTTTCACTCTGCAATGTTGTATTGAAGGAGAAGAAAACAGGTGTAAGGTGATGTTTTTAGCCTAGGTTGAAACACTGTAGAACAGACACATGCTTAGCTGCTGCTGTTTTAAGTATCATCCTCCAGCTTCTTGCTGAACCCATAGAGGATGGTGGATATAAGAAATAGATGTTTGTGCTACCTTTGAACTTTGGCAGGAAAAGAACATTTTGAATCATTCCTCTAATTCCCCATGAGCACCCCAGAATATCTCCATGCTGTTCTGCTCTTTATCTGCCATATGTGTGACCCCGGATGCCTGCCCCATGCTTCTGCTCATGTAAGTGACTCTATCCTACACACACACACACACAGAGTCCTCCATTCAGATGTTTGCCAATGTGATTCCCTCTTTATTCAGGAAAAATCTCATTGAAGTCACAACTTACATAAGAAACCAATACAAACTGGTAGCGAGATAATATCTTCCTATGAAACCAAATTTCCAAAATCCTCAATGAAGTGAAGATCAGTGTACCTTGTGGATTCCTTCAGGCAGTTGTACACCAGAAAAAAACAGGATAGTATTGGTCTATAAGTAGGGTTTGTTCATCTAGATCTAGATCTGCTCCCACTGTTTGGCCCCAGAGCTTCACAGCTCTGGCAGCAAAATTGTCCTGCCAAGGATTTCTGAGGGACAAAATGCAAGAAGTAGCAGAAACCTGAGCCTTGTCCTGTCAACGCTGGCCCCTGTGTTGAAATCCAAGATGTAAGATTACATTGCACCTACTGGTGGCCTAATGCTCTCAGACTTTTAGTCAAACCCACTATTTCTCACTTGCCTATGTTTTAAATACAGGCTGTGTAGCATGGAGGATGGAGTAAGCCTACTGTGCTCTGCCCTGTCAGTGGCTTCATGCCAGTCCCTTGTGTGTGATCCTCCTACTTGCTTGCTGTTATAACGGGTGCTATTTCTATTGCAATACTTTCCCTCATTTCTGCTGAAAGGGTTTATCAGACATTCCTTCAAAGTAAATCGCTCCTCTGTAACCTTATGAGGTTTTAAAAATATAATTTAAAGCTAAAGCCTAGAATCCTATTGCTGTCTCCATCTACTGCAAAGAAGCTGTCAATTAGAGACACCAGGTGGGAGCAAAGATCACTGAAACCAAAACTGAATCAAAACATGGATTTTTCTGCCTGCTGAGGAGTTGGTGAAAGTTTGCTATTCTTCAGTTGGCAAAACTGATTTAGTGTGAGGGGCAAACTATTGCACTCTTAGAAAGCGAGGAAGATTGTATATTATATTCCCATACAATGGTATCCGAGAGAGTCACAGTGAAGGTCTGAGGGAAACAGGGAGTATCAACAGTTTTTCAGTTTTCTGAGTGGAATGGTTTAATGCCCAAGAGGGCTACGAGATGGCTTGGATTTTGTCCCCAAACAAGACATGACTTATGCTGTAAACTGGTAGAACCAGTTCTTCTCCTAGGATCTCTATTTTCATTTCCAGGGTTTTGTTTAGCAGCACCATTAGTCACAATACGACACCCTCCATTTTGGTACCTGTCACAGCTTCCTCTGGGACAGTGTAACTTCACAGAAGTGCTAAAATAGTGTCTTACAGACACACACACACATACAGAAGCAAAACCCAAAATACACATGCAAAACCCAACACAGTGTATTTTTTTCAGGTTTCCAGGACAATAAGGATAAAATCACAAAATCTCCAGAGCTATGAGGTTTAGTAATACCTTTTTAAAGATTCTCAAACTCTCTTCCCAAGTCCTCTGTCCTAACAGGGAAAAGTGTTTTCTGATCACACCTATCTTCTTCCCTGGCTGTATCTACTCTCTTTTTCTCATGTGTGTTGACTAAGACTGGGTAAAAATCCATTGTGTATAGGTCTAATTCATCTAAATTACTCCTTTAGAAAGTACAATTCCTTTCTTATAGGCTGCAGCTTTTGGAAAAATAAATAAACTATTTTAAGTCTAGATGGAGCATTGTTCATTGTTCAGCCATTGTTATTTTAACTCCATTGTTACTTGTAATTTTCTATTTTACAGCTTTTTTGAATATTATTGCAAATGTAGAAAGACTGATGTCATAAAGTGAAATAAATTCATATTATTCCAATGCATTCAAGATTTATTTAATATCTATATAGAAATAATGGAAATGTTTCCTAGATGTTGTCAATATGTTTGCTACAAATTTATTTTCCTGGGAAGATTACTGGTAGAACTGTATCATTTAGAAGCAGTATAGGCTTGTTACTTTTTTTGGACCTAAATTATTAGACTTAAGCAGCTCTTGGAAGAGGAAAAAGAAGCCATCAAGATACACAGCCCTCAATCAGGAAATACGTCATCAGGACCAACAGATATCAGTTACAGACAAGACAAAAGGGATGGCTCCTGTAAAACTTCAAGGAGAGAGAGTTCCACTACCTATTGTGGAATGTGTTCACTCTTGAGGGAGAGTAAATTTTATTAGGCCTTTCTTATGCCAAGATAGAGACAGGAATAACTACAGAAACACTGCTAATGATGGACTGTTGTCACAATCAGAAGAACCCTAAATATGACGCATTCAGTAGGCTCCAGTGGCAAAATGGTAATTTCATTTTCATATGAACAGTAAAGAGTTTGTTAAGCAGTTACAGCTGTGAATAACTTTTAGTATTTGAATAGTTCCATTTGCTATATTCAGATGAATCATGTGAGTGATGTTACCCACCAGCATATTTAAAAGTATTGATCCTAAGGGCATGTCATGAATTATTCCACTAATGCATAAGCTGATCATTAGAAAGTAAGTTTCTTTCACTGATTTAAGCATGGGTTTTAAAACACAGCTTATGAGTGAACTCTAAAGGAAAAAATTCTTTAACTTTAAATCTAAATTAAAAAAAAAAAAAGAAAAACCAACAAAACCCCAAAACCAAAATCAAAAATCCAAAGAACCAAAGAAAAACACACAGGGGAAAAAAAAATCCCTAAACCCCAAAACAACAAAAAAACCTGATAACCCATTGGGTTTCCCCTTCCATTCCTTTCTTTACTGGAAAAAGTCTGCAAGTTCTGTGGAGCACCTGAAGATTGATGATATAACCCCAGAAAAGCTATGACTAGACTTGCAGCTCTTTCCTTAGCAAAATGGAGGGGCCTGCCACAACATACATTATTTAGTATGGATGAAATGTTCTGGACATTACTTAGACTGATCTAATGTTCATCCAGAGTCACAATGTTGGAGAAGTAGTAATCATGAGCATTGGTGCATGGAGAACTCGTTTATCACTGCCGAACCACAAAAGAAAGAGCCCATTTGAATCTTATTTTCAAGTGTGCTTTGAAGCGCTGAGGTTAACAAATCCTTTAGTCACATACTGTACAACCCTAATCGAAGCTCTTTCCACTCAGTCCTGCGAAGTGTGTCTTTTTGAATGAACCCCCTACAGAAATAAAAGGGACAGTGTAACTCTGAAACTGCACTTCTGTTTGAAACTGATTTACCTGCTTTTGAGACAAGTAGTTCTATGACAACCACAAATGACACAGATGATTTTCTTGGTTGTTCAACATGTCTGTTTGATAGGTCTTTCTATATAGATGGTGTCACCCTTTTTCTTGATAGTATATGTCTTTTGCTCAGTGACTACCAAGAGCAAACTTATTTCAAAAAATCAGTACAGGAGCACATTGACAGAGAGACAGTAGAAAAGGCATAGACCTACCTGAAATGATTTTCTGTTATTATTCACATACACTTTTACTTAAAACAAAATCCAAACCTCAAAAATCTGTCAGTTTAAATTTTTTTAAACAATGTTTAATTGAATCTTTTTTATAAGCTTTCCTTCAGCCAGAACAAAGATAGTACTGCAAGAACTCTTTAATAAAACTTTAATATTTAAATTCCCTCCTCGGTTCTTTCAGATAAAGAAGGCTGACTAACATCTGAATGTTTGGGGTTGAAGTCACAGCAAACCTTATTCGTGCTTCAGACTTCATTCTGCTTTTAGTATGCTAAAAAGTCATTTGGTGTCACTGATTTATTTGCTTCCTCTCTTCTCCTATAACTGAGGATATTTAGCAAAGCAAATATCTTAGAAGAAAAAAAAAAAAAGAAGCTCTTAACTGTGCTTTGGTCAAATTTTGCATGTAATTAAAATTACTGGCTGAGTGTGTCAGCAGTCCTTGCCTGGCACTATGTTACATACCTTGTGCCTGAGGATGACTTCATATTGGTTTTATATCAAATAAAATTTCACTTGATTAGTCACCCAGAGATGCAGCACCATGGTCTCTCTTACCTTTTCTTCCATTCTTTTGTCCCATCTCAATTTTTTTTCCTCCTTTCTACTTCATTACTATTTTTCTTCCTTTTAAAGACATTATTTAAAGTTTCTCATGTAATTCAGTGCTGATGAAATATGTATCTTTGAACTATTTATATATCTAGTAATTGGATAGGTCAGGTGAAAAGGGCACGGTATTTAGTAGGAAACACTCAAGAGTGCAATTCGGGCATGATGACTGCGCATTTCTGTGTTCAGGAGCTTTTGGTCAGACTCTCCTTGTGAGTGAGACAATGGGTTGCTAACAAGCTAACAGGCTCTACAGAAACACTCAAGGTGAGGGCTGACTCATGTACTGATTTTGATATTGTGGCTGTGTTGTCTGGGGAATCAAAAAACCCACTTCCATTATAGTCCTGCAAACCCCATGCTTCAGAGTTTCATGGAAAATAGGCTGTATGAGCTTTTGCACCCTGAAATGGTGTCACTTTACAAGTGGCAATATAATTAATGTTAATTGTGAGTGTTTGGGCTGTGCTCAGAAAATATAAAAATTTATATAGATGGTAAGTATCATTAAGCAGTTTTGGAAGCATTTGTTCTCCCTGGGGTTGTCTCTGACAATTAATTTCTTGAGGCACATTTTCAACAAGCATCTTTTAAAACAGCTCACTCAAAGAAAAAACTGAATCTAAGCTTCAGAGCTAATAAACCTCTAGAGAAACCTATACTGAAGAGGAGCTTTTTGTTTCTAGAAAAGAAAAAAAGGGCATGTCTAGCCATGTCGCTGACAGGACCATAATGCCAGCATCTCTAAACCAACAAATGTAAAAAGAAACACTTCGTGAATTATAATTCCACTTTCTTTTCAAGGCAGCAACATCCTCTGACAAAAAGAGGGTATCACCAACCTGCATTTCAAGGTTGAACAACCATAATAACACTTTAAACTGGAAGAGATCATTTAGTCTTCTCTCTTATGTATCACACAACATTAAGTTTCACAGAGTAGTAGCTGTCCCTTCCCTGAGTCCAACAGCTTGAGTTTCACTGAAACTGTGTCTCCTGAAGAGAACAGGTGATAGCAGGGTATTCACAATGCCCAGAGCCCTTGATATCAGATGACTAAATGCATTATACTTGTGCATTCCTACCAAAGATGGGGATATACCAGTCTCTTCACAACTAAATAATGTTATCTGCATATGGGCTAAGCACAAAAGCTTCCACAAAAAAGTGGATTTAGTCCATACAGTTGAAGGTGTTCAGGGAGATCTCTAAAGAGGCATCTACTGATATTTGTCAGCTCAGCTATGTCCTAGCCTCCATGAACTGTCTAGGTTGGTGAAAGTATAGAGGAAACTAATAGCTAACATGTAGACACATATATTTAAAATCCTAAACCCCATAACAATCTGAAGAAAATTCTCTGGGAATTCCATATTCTGTGTTGCAGAGAGAAATAAATGCAACTAATACACCTTTCTCAGAACCATAGAATCGCTGAGTTGGAAGGGACCCACAAGGATCACCAAGTCCAACTCTTATCCCTGCACAGGACCATCCCCAAGAGTCAAACCATGTGCTTGGGAGTATCATCCAAATGCTTCTTGAACTCTTGTCAGGCTTGGTGCTGTGACAACTTCCTAGGGAGCCTGTTCCAATGTCCAGTCTCCCTCTGGGTGAAGAACTTTTTTCTAATATTCAACCTAAACCTCCCCTGACACAACTTCAGACCATTTCCTTAGGTCCTGTCACTTGTTACCACAGAGAAGAGATCAGTGTGTGCCCCTGTTCTTCACCTCATGAGGAAGTTTTAGACTGTGATGAGGTCTCCCCTCAGTTTCCATTTGTAGAGAAACACTTTCCTTATATCAAGTCTAGCAATCCTAGCAAACCTACGGAGAGGAATATATCTGGCCAACTGACAAGTCCTTCCAGGCTTTTGTTCCTACCAGCATGAGATTTCCTTGTAGTTTGTGTTATAAGGTAAAGTAAAAAATGCACTGTCCTGATAAAAGTGCAAATCTTCCCAATCTATAAAAAAGGGAAAGAAGGAAGAGTTTCATAGGTGTCTGTTGAGAGGTGCCAAAGGTGAGAAGAGCAAAAACACAGGCATGTCATCAGAAAGCTCAGACTGATTATCTTGTGGAAATATTATTCAACACCAGAGTTTTGAAAGACTTAATTTTGAAACATTCCAGGCAATGTTGACTCTACTTACACCTATAAAGCCATTCAAGTATATAAGTATCTTCTCCACTAGGATACTGTGTCTTATTTCAAGGCTGAAACTCATATAATCTTCCTGCCAATATATCTTTTAGTATCTACATTAGTTAGATTGAAAAACCCCTCACCAGCCTCAATATTGTTTATGTTTTTCTATAACGAGTGTTCAATTTTTTCTTATCTGCCTTTTTGATAAATTGAGTAGGTTGAGCTGCTTGACTTCTCATTGTAGGAGATATTTTTCAACTCCTATCTGACTGAAATAATTGGCCTTTTTTTTCCTTTTACTTGCTAATTGTATTTAATTTTCCTTTTTTTCACATAATCAAATTTTTTTAAACTTTTTTTAAAAGAACTGCAGTAAGTGTGTTAACAACATTTTCAGGATCTGGGTATTGGCAGCTGGTTCTGCTAGCATTTGCACTTCTATATTTATTAAATTTATCTGTACATATGATAATAATGCATACTATGAAATAATACATGAAGAATTGCTGCCGTGGCTACCACATCTGTATTTTTGTTGTGTAATAAAGCACATGCATGCTGTGTGTAAGAGTCTGGTAAACTCGCTGTATAACTGTGCACTGCTGCAGATTATGTGTGGAGTCTCTAGTAGTTCTGTGTGAAATACAAAATACTCAGTCATTGCTTTCTACTGCAGAATAATTTCTGTGTTTATTTTAAAAGATAAATAAAAAAATAAAAGTCAGTAAGTAGACTACAATGTATATTTAAAAATTTACTGTGTTTATATTTTCAGCATCAACAGCTAAGGTCCCGGAATTTTTTCAAATGATTCAGGTAATCAGAAAAGAAATTCAAGCTGAGATAATTTTTGTAAATATTTTGTAAACATTTTAAAACATTTATTTTCTCTCATAGAAGACTCATAATATTTGTGTCTCCCCCCCCAAAAAATTATCAATTAGTTCGCATTTCTATTCTTTTTTTTTTTTCATTATTTCTCAGATATAGAAATGATCGAGTACTTTAGACGTTTGGGAAGTGTTATAGATGTGTCACTCTTGCAACTTATATATGAATTTCATGAACCCAATGAACTGAGTCCAAATAGGGTAATCTGCCTTTTAAGATGTCTAAAATAAATAGCTAGATCTATTTTCAGCAGCCTTTTGGTAGTGATAAAAAGTTATTGGCCTGGGTCTGACCATTTTGTAGAATAACTAGATGGATATTTCCCTGTAATTTTACATCTATTCAGGAAGAGTGTAAGGAATAGCCAAATAAAAATTAAAGAAAAAGCATAGCAGACAACTGAGCAATAATTCAGCCATGAAGTCATTAACTGACTATATGATATAAACATCTATTAAAGCAAAAGAAGACAAATCACAGACACGTTCTCTTTCGCACTTCAAAAAACTAAAAGCTCTTCTATGTAGAGAATAGGCTACTGGCTCAGGACTGGAACACAAGAACTTTGTCCATCCGTTTGCTTCACAGTTGAGAAATTATGAAAGGTGCATTCTCGACTAGGTTGCAAATCAATCTTGATTAGACAACACTAAGAGGAATCATCTGTAATGTATCGATAAAAACCTCGAAACCAGTATTGATCTCTAGCACTCTGATCATGATCCCACAAATTCCCATCTGGTTCTTACTTGCCTTTGCCAGGAGATCTAAGGTTCACATGGACAAGAGGGAGGCAGCTCTACCAAACACCTCTACGAAACTTGGTGGGTTTAGATAATTTTCCATTGCAATGAATTGGATAATCGTTAATATGTTTCAGGTAATACATATATGTGCTTATGAATAATAACTCCAAAGCAGTAAATTAATTCTAAGAGTTGATAGGAAGTCTGTGTTTCAGGGTGACAGCAATTACTAATATAAAGCACTTTAGATTAAGCCTCAACTACCAGGTTTAGTTTAAAGGTGTTGTTTCCAGTGGTGAATATTTAAAGCTAGTGGTGGAAGCAAACATTTTTCCCTTTATATTTTTTTTATAAAGAACAAGAGTTTGGTCATTAGGATAATATGGAAAAAGAAAATAGCTTGATAAAATGCCCAAGGACACAGAGATACAAAATATGAAATCTCTCATATGAAGGGGAAATTTTACTTTTGCCATTTTTCTGAAGGAAAAGGAAAAACAAACACCTAACCCCCCCATATATAAGATTAGAAATACACATGAAATTTAGAGGGAGGGTAAATTGGTCTGTTGTGCCATAGGATTTCATATCTGCTTTGTAGATGCCATGCCTTGGGATAAGCTAAACTCGGAACTCAAGCATAAATTACACTATTGCAGGAGTATTACCCTTCAAGACCTCATGTACAGGACTGGACTGAATACAATGGTATATTGTGTAGTCAGAAAAGTAGAATATTGCTGAGTTTGTGCAAATAACAAGACTGCATACAGCTTCATTGTGTAAAGCAATCACAAGGGATAGACAAAAAAAGTAAATTCTGGCCTCAGTTCAACAGAAATTGATTCAAAAACCTGTCTCAGTGCAATAAACATAAGTCTTGTCTACAGTTTTGAAGTAATTAACTAGTCAAAAGTAAAACAATCTTTATGGCAGAAATTTTTGGAGGTTTTAAGAAGTGTTCCAGGGTTCTGAGACTAGTGGCAAAATGTGTCATCTGAGGTTGAACATTTGATGGGACTTGGTGAGATCAAAGAACTGGAAAGAAAAAACTACATTGAATACATAGGAATGAGCTCCAATTACAAGCTGGACAGTCCTTAATCTTAACACAACTTAAGCACAGCTGTAGACGGCATTGCTGCTCCTTACTTTAGGAGAAACACCACCAAGATGTCTTGAACTAGAGGCACAGGCTCTTGAGGTTCAACTCCACAGGCCTAACAACATGTGGTGTGTCAGGATGAAGCCTATGGAAGTGTGACAAAGTGAGAAATTAATTAACTAATGTCATGCTGCTGCTGGTCTCAACCTGCTTCTACTAACACTTGACCGAAGGCCTCAGCTTGCAGCTGCCTACATCTGGTTCCTTAATTTTGATTCCAAACAGTCACGTTATACACAATTATATCCTTTCATTAGGAGTGAGCTAGAAATTATGAAATTGAGCTCTTGGAAACTAGTTTCTGAACTGAGTAAAGGCATTTTGCTTGATATGTCTTTCGGTCTATTCTGACATCTATAAGCACCCAAAACCCAAGGGTACAGTTTCATATTCTGTTCTAGCTAGTGCAGGTGTTGCTGAAAATGACAGCCTAATCTTCACAGCCGCCCCTCATGTAGATTCTCATTCCCTGAATCTGTAGAAAATTAAGTCCAAAATAAGACTAGGTCATTCAGCCATTTTTATTATCACCATGTAGAAAATAGAGGAAACTCCTGGCCCAAAACCAAAATGATTAGGGGAGCAGGAAAAACTATCCTGGTCCAAGTTAGGGCAAATTAAATAGAGTGCAATACTGCAACCTGACTATTCACCTGCTTCCTTAAAAAATGAGAAATTATGCAAGCTCATTTGTATATATATATCAATAACGAAGCCATTTTTAGCCCAATGGCAATAAGTAGCTAGTACCTTAAATGACAGTGCAGGATTTGTGCTGTACAAGACAAACAAGTGGGCACAATCAAACACTGGATGTGAATGAATTGCCTCATTATATTTTTTTCCCCTCTGTGTAGTAAAATAAGCTTCCTCTCCTGTCTAAAGGAGTTTCATAGGGAGAATTCTGAGGTGTTGTTTTCTTACCAGTTGAATTCTTGATGATGTCCTAATCGGGAAAATTATGTGGATCGTCAGATCTTGTCATGTTGAACCTAAATTTGCCATAACAATGTTGGCTGAAGTGTCACATTTGTTCTTTGATGTTCAGGCCCTTTTGTTTATTGGAATCCATTCAATAGCTCACAGGGATGTTTGTATCAATATCCATTGCAGCTGGAAAGAGGTGTGAGGTTAATTCCACGTTTGTGTTTCAGGGTAATAACATATATCTTGGTATAGTATATACCAATGTCTGTGGGCTCAAAGGATTTGCAGTGTTTCTGTTGCCCTTTTGCTCTTCATAACCAGAAAGACCAAAGCCCTCACCAAAAGTTAGGGTTACTTTAAAAAAAAGCAATTTAGCAATATTTCTAATACAGAAATTTTTAATACAGGACCTCAAAATAAAACTGGTCTAGCTGAAAATGATAAATAACATTGTGCTGAATATTGCAACATTATTCTTTTCTTTTTCTTCCAGAAAAGCAATTATCTTTAGAAGCTGGTTGACATTAGACCATGTGATTATATTCATTTCATAATATGTGAGAAATTTACATAGTTGGAAGGTTGCACATAGAACTCAATATTGTGTAATCTTGAAATGCCAACTTTTTCAAGCCATGTAGTCACTCTGTATGGAAGGGTGGGTGATATTTCTGCTCTAGTAACCTTCTCAAGACTCAGCAAATAGACTCGGCAGGGGTTAACCTGCAGGATGTCCAGAATTGAGCAGAATTTCTCCTCATCTGTAGTGATAAAAAGTCAGCAGAATTTTCCCCTTTTCATATGTAAGGGAGAGTGTGAAGTCTTCAAAAAAATGCATAAGGACAGAAGGAGCTGGAGTGAAATAGACTTTGTTATAATTTGTCCTCCTGTGTTGCATGAATATAATGCTGATCCACTTCTTCATTTTTTTTGATTAGAAGAAATTGTACATGGCCTTCCTTGGTATACAGTCCTTGATTTCTATCTGCTTAGGAACTCTGGATAAGAGAAAAATTTCTTTCTAATAAAGTCTTTAAGGATACCTCACTTTTAAGTGGTCTAACAGTAACCTCTATTCTAAAGTTGTCTTATAAGCACATTTTCATTTCTTTCATTTTGCTAAAGTTTCTTGCAGCTTAAAGTTTCTGAGATTTCTGTCTAACTTAAAATGATAGTTGATATGTATTTCTGTATACACATACACTGGCAGAAAACTTATACTGCTTATGGAGAAATTTAATTCTCAACCTTAATGATGAATACAGAATTCCAATCCAGAATGCTGGAGAGAACATGCATTTGTACGTAACCATCCTTATCCCAGTTAGTTGTAATCAGGTCTACTATGAAGCTTTGCTTGTGCTATTCTGTTAGATTATCATTATATTTACTTCTTGTGATACAGCTACATTCCAGATTGGGACTCTCTAACCACAAATGCCGAGAACAGTCACAATTCCTGTTCTCCAAATACACTTGGTTAGACATAAAAAATTACACACTGGCAGTGCAAAACAAAAAATATATTCACTAGCATATTCACAAGTTTCTTCCTTCTCTGTAATTTCTATTTGCTAATCTCAAAAGTCTCATAAATGGTTATGAGCCAGAAAACTTACTCCAGGTGTAGATTATTTGTTAGTTAGCACTTTTCACTTACTTGTTTTTTTTTTTAAATAGAGTCTACCAACAAGAAAAGAAAAACTATGACATCTGCTCATGATGGCAATTCATTCATTACCATTTTCTGAAGAAATTGATTTATGAACCAGTGTTTTTCTAGGTCAAAAGGGGTTTGTCCAAGTATTTGTTGAATACTTATAAGCAACGAATATATTTGCAGAATTCAGGGTTGCCTCTTGAATCATTTGTAAGCAAAATAAAAAAAAATAAACTGGCTAAATTCACAATGAATATTATTTGCAATGAATAATTCAACCAGTACTAATTATTTAGCACCTGTAGAGGAAAGACAGATAAATAGATATGTTAATATAGTGATGCCTCATTTCTGTCTAACTATCAGATATTGAAGTAGAGAAGGGCAAAAGTCTGTCACAAAGCACACTTGCTGGCAGATGTGTTATCAGCAAGGGAAGAAGACTTAATTTGCCAAAATTATCCATCTATCTATCTGCACATTTATACAGAAAAACTCACATATGATTTCTATATATTTAATAAAAGTATGTGAACTTTTTGGCATTACTTGACAACTTCAAAATGCAGATGTTGACTGTGACATGCAGAACACATATAAGAGCCAGATGAAGACATATTTTATGTACATTCTAGGACAGGAGATTAAGGGCCACATTTCTTCTGAAATGGCAAAACCTCAGTTTTTTCACATGTAATTAGGTAGATGCACAAGACAAATCCTTATTTGCTTCAGTCACCATATTTCAGGTATCCAATATGTGTTTCCATGTAGAACTATTATGCTTGCTTTGTTTTAAATATGGGGCTTTATGTTACAGTTAGAAGAAGAATATGAAAGACAAAGATCGCAATGATCTTGTGAAATAATAATAATAATTATTTTTAACATTTCTGTTCTTTTACATTGCCTTTATACAATATATGTGTTTATTACATGACAGCACATGCACATATTCTACCTTATACATCTTAGTTTCTTCTGGGGTATAATACTGGATTTTGTGAAATGAGATAAGGTGTCAATGTTTTTTTTGAAAATTACTAAATATGCTGTGATAGACAACCAGTGGACCACACACTGTTCCCATTATAGTTGGCATATGTATGGATTGTTCCCTGATGTTTCTCAACATTTTGTATTTACACAGAATTCTGCCATGCATTTTCACTAAAGCAGCACACAAAGACTAGTATGTTTTTATTCTCTTTTGTTAGGAAAAGAATTTTGATTTGATCACGTTACTCTAAAATAAGAGTTCTGCCCTTGGCACCCTGTTTTGAGGAGTTCCAGAGAGAGAGAGAGACTTAGGTTACATACAGTGAGAATTGACCATTTACATTGCAATAAATATATAACCTACACAGTAAGGGGGAGCACAGGTCTTTGCTCTGGACATCCCAGTAATTCATGTGCCGTGAGTCTCTCAGGTACATCAACATACTGGGCTTTTGTCCCTTTTCTTCTAAGCAGTTGGGAGCTGCAGTACAGCATTAGGATGCACTATGATAGGATTTTCTAAACCAAATGAGGATTCCTTTAAATGACAGTGTGTAGCTGAAAAACCTAACCAGATTTGGAAGATCTCTTTTTTCCTTTTTTTTTTTTTTTTAACTAGAACATGAGATTTTGGAAACGGATGTGTGGAATTGAGAAATTGATTACAAGAAGGGAGAGGCAGGTGAAATCTGGATGTTATGAAGAATTATCAGAAAAATATGTAAATGGATTATGAATTGCCAGGTAGTTCTGCAAGACTGTATTCCCACAGTTCCATTACCAGAAAATTAGGTATAAACTATAGCTGAGCAAGCTTAATCTGCTCTCACATAACTTTCAGTTTGTTTGCTGTTTTTCCTCTCTGAGATCTGAATCATTGAGAAGAAGAATTGGCCCAGGCTGTCTGTGAACATAGGTTGAGTAAGTCAGTAATCCTGTGATGGTTTTTGCCAGTCCTTAGTAACTTCTGAGTATCACTAAATAAAACTGGATGGCTATGATTCCAAAGGGAAGACATAATGCTTGATGACTGCTGAAAAGTAGAGCATATCAGTCATGTTCCTACTATGTTTGTTTTCCAGATAGAAACTCCTTGGAAAATAGTATTGAAGAATGCTTATCCACGACATGAAGGTCTGAAATTTTACATTTTTGAAGCTAAGGAGACAGGATCCATCATGTCATTCGTGTCCATCATAGCATTCTATGTTGCAGCTCCATTGCACCAATAACCTGCATGCATAGAGGAGGTTCTGGCCCTGCACATTGTATTTTGATTCTTTCTTTTTCTTTTCCTTATTCTGTTGCCACTAGTTTAGCATGTGCCATGTTTGTTTCTTGTTTCAGTACAGAGCTGAACTTTCTCAGATGCAGGATGAGTCCTGAGAAATGAAGCTCTCATAGTATTGCTACACTTATTTTAGAGCAAGGACAACCTCATGGCTATTTTGTCTTTGGAACTGTCTGTAAATGCAGCAACAATGAAAGCTGTGAAACAAAAATGGAAAAGATATGTACTTCCTTACGCTGAGTGCTTTGCTTGCTGCTCCAGGTGACAGCATAGAAAAGGGTAAATGGCTTAAGAAAACCCTTGATATAAAAGAGATTTACAAGGAACTCTATCTTTTCTGTTTTTATTTTTCTCAGACATATCATATCTGTGGATCATCAGGGAAGTTTTCCCATGACTTCGGATTTCAAAGCTACAGGTGGTCTGCAAGCATGGCACTTCAAAGTGTATTTTGATTAAATGAAGCAATGTTTTCGTAATATGGATCCCAGATCTTTGAACTTTTTTCAGATCAATTCAGCCAACAAAGATTCAATTAGGTGAGATCAGAAGGCCCGCTTCCACCCTTTGTTTTCATCTGTTGTTCAGCCCTATCTTTTCAAATAGCTTTAATACAAAACCAAGGCAAATAATTTATTTTAATGAGGACCACAATCATAATGATGGTAGTGGTGACGATGGTCCTTGTACTAACAGTAATAAAACACATTTACAGCTGGCAGTACTGGTTGCTTAAAAAAACCCAACAAAAACCCCAAACCAACTCGTATAGCCTAAGTAGTATTTTAACTGAATTAGCACATGTTGGCACAAGCTGGGTCTGTATCCGCTACTGAAGCTTACTTAACTGTATGTATCTCGTGGGTTTGTGTTTTTTTTTCCTTCAGTGAAAGAAAAACTGATCCTAACAGTTTTAAAGTTGTTAATTCAAACCATATGTCATAAAGCCAGTCTCCATATGGTGCAACACCACCTTATATTTACAGGGTGCTGCTTTTCCAAACATTATTCTAAAAGCTTTATTTGCCCCAAATGTAATAGGTGGTACTGAGCTCCTGAATAGAGCTTTTAAAATACCTCAAGTGTCTAAATCTCATGCTGATATAGCAAAAACATTCTGATTATTAAAAGTAATTACAGCCTATTTTTTGGCAGAAATGTGCTAATCAAGGCCTTGGCTAAGAGTGTATGCTTAAGAGAAGAAAAGCATGCTGTCAATCCTCCATCTCTACACATGGCAACAAAAGATAGGTGTAGAAAAAAAATCCATCACCTAGTAGAAGGACTTTTTTCCGTGGTTCATTGTTCAAAACTGTGCCTGAGTTACAGAAAAGAGGTAGCCTCTGCTCTTTCCATCCTTAAGAAAGGTAAAAAAAAAGATCTGGATTTCTGAATCAAAATTAAAATGGAAAGTATGAAGGTTAGAGAGATGTCAAGTTTGATGATTTTGGTTTGCTTCTGTATACTTCTCAAAGAAAATTATGTGGAAATGTCTTTGAAATGTCTGTCTTCATTATGGAAAAAAGCTGAAGAGTAGCAAAGGGTGTTTTTTGGTGTCTTTGAGGTCTATAGAACTTTAGTCTGCTTATTTGATTTCACTCTTCTTTCTGCTGCACCAGAAACTACCAATATTCTTACCCGCCTTTCTTAGTACCAACCCACTCTCTACACTGCCAAGCTCTAGGGAAGAGGTAAATGGAAATAGATGTTCATTCCTCATTAAGCTTTCTTTGGGGGAACAAGGGGGACCTTAGGCAGGCTTACCTGATAATCTGAAAATAGAGCTTTAGACAGATGGCACATGATTATATAAACTTAATTGGTTGATCTACATAGGGAAGAGTTGCTACGTTGAAACATATGCTACCCATAACTTGTTCTAGATCTGCTCTTTGCATCCAGTGGCAAAAATTACTCTGTTTTGCTGAGTCTAAAAGAGGAATGGTGTACAATTTCCATTTCTTTCCAACTTACTCAGTAGATGCTCTATCCAGACTGTATAAACTGTAAGACTTTATGTGGGAAAACATTGTCGAGTGTGTTACATGCATCAGTCTGAAAGGAACCCTGCAGCCAGAGTGAGGATGGTAGATTGAAACCATTATCACTCACCATTTCTCATATGTATAAGCTCATGACTCACAATCAGTCTCTTGTCTTTTTCTTCTCTTTTTTGCCGTATGATTAAAGTGAGACTTCCTTGCTTCTACTAGGGAGGTTCTTGGCTGTATAATTTTAAAGGCTATACAAGTATATAATTTTCTGAAAAAGGACCCACAAACCACAAACAAGCCTTAAACTATTGACACATGTGAAATCAAATTCTCTGATCGTTTATACCACAGTAACTAAATCTACCATAGTGAATCTAGAATAGCTCCAAAGCATTTTATGATTGGCATCAAGGGAGTTACTTCTGGCTTCTCACTGGTGAAGCTGGAGGCAAAATTTGACCATAGAGAGAAACATTATTATTTAGCTCATTAATCACTAAGGAAACTTGCTAGCTGAACAATCCTACTGGTTTTCATTATTTCCTTTATAATCTTATTAGAAACAGAATTCCAAATTGCATGCAGAGAATTCAGTGGAAAGAAAACAGGCAGCATTTAGCTACCACTTCCACCTATTTCCAGTCTAATAAGTTAACAGTAACATTCTTACAGAAACCCCTGTAAATAAAAGCAGAATACAATAGCATTTTGAAATAAAAAAGAGAAAGAGAAGCACATAAATGAATGAAATAGTTCTGTGTATAATGCCACTGGTTAAAAAAAATGCTTATTGTCTTCAACAGACTCCAACTTAGATTAAGCTACCAACCAATTAACCTATTCAGAGTACACAATGCTTCCTTAATACAATAGTCATGAATGGGTCAGTGTAAGAATGATGGATTTTCTATCATTTGAATACATACTGAAGAGAATGAACTCAAATACAGAAACTAAACTCAAGATATAAACAAAATATAGTGTTAACATGTGCCTACTTGTTCAAAAGGAAGCCAAAGTGCTCACCACATGATGTAGTGCCACAGATACTTGAAGATGACCTCTAATGAAGACCAAGGAATAGGAATATGCTGTGATTTATGATGGTAGATTAGCTAGGTGATTATTTCAGTCAGGAAAGGTGTCCTTTCTGATAAGAGCTCTGTGAACTTTCTCCTTGTGCAGTATGCATCTTGCATGTAAGTTTTGGTAGTTTTGTTAGCAGTGGAATTAAGAGGTATGATACTTATGCCACTACTGATAAAGAGCAAATCAGCATAGTAATGTCCTACAGACAGCTCTTATTTGTTTTAAATTTCGGCCTCAGACTTTTGCAGATTTTTTTTTTTTTTTTTTTGTAGTCCTCCACTATTTTCAAAAACCTATAGAGCCTACTAAGCTATCAGGAAAATAGCTCCATTCTAAATCCTGATAGCTTTTTCATTGGATTTTTTTTAAAAAATGGTTATTTCTTTACATCCTACTCAGACTTTACACCATATCAGTTCTCTGCATAAGCAAGCTTTTGTCCTTGAGAATAGATGGTAAAAGTGCCCAAACCAGGCAAAAACGATCCTGGATTTCAGACCACAGAAGTGCAACATGAGATGGCTGTGGTGACTTGCTGTCTTTACCACAGACTTCCGTTGTGCAGTTCAGCAAGTCACTTTATTTTTCAGGGCCTTGGCTGCTCACTGATGCCAGGAACACTAAGTCATTTAGCACACACTTTGCTTATCTTCTCTTTATAGTTGAAAGTGCTACAGGATAGTAGGGTAGCAGCTGAATCTGCAGAGTGTGTATTACAATGAAGGTTCAACTTTCACTGGAGCCAGTAGAAGAGACTGGAATGCAAACGGTAACAGCAGCTATAGAAATAATAAAAGGGGGGGGGGGGAGAATAAAGATTATTGGCATGATTTACACATGGACTGTTTATTCCTAACTGTTACATATCCCATACGCCTTTTCCTTTATCACAGCATGATCCTGAGATCTACATCCTTCAATCATGGTTTTACTTTGAGTTGAGGTATCTGATTGGTAGTATGCCAGAAAAAAAACATTATCTTGCCAAGTCATTGGTATGAGGAAAGGGAGGCCATTTCCCTATCTCCCATTCAAGTAACCAAGCTTTTAGATCTGTGGGTGAAGACAGATGCGTTTGTTTAGGTTACTTATTATAGCTATTCAAAATTCTGGAAAGTTTAATGATGTACCACAACTTTTAACTCTTGTATTTGCCATTTTGGCTGTATAAATTATGTCCTTTATGAAAACCAACAACTGTGATGCTTTACAGTGTAGTTATTATAGAGAAATATGCAATTAGGAGGAGGTGGTTTTATCTCTCAATTTGGCAAATGAGAAACTGGGGATAAGAAAGCCCACGGCATGTTATCAATAGATTCGGGTAGCATAACTACAGTTTCCTCAATAAGCAGAATTTACCAAATTGCTCCATATAACACATCAGTCCACTGTGCTTAACTCTTAATAGTTAGCTCTCCCTACCTGAGCAGCACTGCTCTCCCTGTGCCTCTGGACTCTGAGTCCCTGGCAGGGATAGAGAACCTCAAGAGTGTCCTCTTCCCTGTGCCTGGACAGCTGGCTCACAACACTGCTCTTTGCAGTCTCGCAAGACTCCTGAGCAGCCTGGGTTTTCACCTCTGTGAGACACAAAAGGACTCAAGGGTTTGAGCTGTGGCTTCCTGTGACAATTCAGCTCTTGCTGGAAAGTTGATAAATTATCTTCTAATAAGCTGAGTAATTTAAGTTACATTAGGTTAACTGCCCATCAGCATTTATTTTATAACATAAACTACTGATCCAGAGGTTTTAGCATTTGATAAATAATTAATAATAGGACAGAAATAAAACAGAGAGGTTGCAAAACACTTTTTTGTTTCACAATTTCAACTAACTGCCTTTTTTTTTTAAATACAAATCCTCTGAAGTTGCAGTTATGATTATTAATGATGGGGATAATAAAACATTAATCAAATCTTTACAACTTTAAATAAGAAATTGTGTCTCATTTAAGTACATAACAAACTTAAATGGAATCTTACTTGCATGGCTTTTCTCTTATTTCTTCTTTAATTTTAATCATATTTGTCTTTTAGGAATTTAAAATTTCATTATATATAAATGAATACACTTACATATCCTTGTTTCAGTTTCAGCTTTAGCTTAAGAGATGATTGCCCTGACGCGAGATTTTCTAAAATGACAAGAGGAACAGATTGATGTGATAAATGCTACAATGACCTGTACAGCTGCACTCACTTTACCAATACAGAAATCATTCTACATAGTCCATCAAGTCAAAATATGGCTTTATGTAAGGATAAATAAAGCATTTGTTTATTCATTTTTTAAATAACACGATTTTTAAATAATCAAGATAAAAAGGTCACATATTTATTAATATGTAGCACACTTCTCATTACTCTGGTAAAATTATGCAACTGTTGCCTTTCAGCTGCCAGTTCTTTGCATTCACTTAATGTGCTCCTATATCCTTGTATGTGTCAAATGTTACTATGCTTTTTGTTTTATTCAAACTGAATATATTAACCTCTTCAGGGTTTACTAGAAGGCAATACTTTTCCTCCAGAATCTCGGAGGAAGAAGAATCTAAAAGGAAAAAACCCCAAAACAACACCCCAAATTTGCATGGCCATCCCAGAAGCTTCTTTTTAAAACTCACTTTCTAAGTGGTAAATTTCACATTCGAGTCCTGATATTTTTTATCTAAAAAATGCTTAAAGGCTCATTAAAAGTTTATATTTGAGTCATTATTACTCATTCAGAGACCAGCTTCTCTCTCAAGAGACTATACATTTCTGACAAGGGATATACACGCAAACATGGCCTTCCCTGACAACATTTTGGGTAACCTCAATAAGATAACAATTATTATATTTTACTTCTAACTTATTTCCAGAAAAGAAGTTTATATTTCAGTGAGGAACACATCTCAGCACTTGGCACCTCTGGTTTGGTGTTATTCTAAACCCCAGTAAAAGGCTTACATAGGGCAGGACAATTGGAAAGAGCTGATGTTTTTGTTTCTCAAGTTACAATCTGTGCAGGGATGCACAGAGATGTAAATGTGCTGTATGGATGCTTTTAGATACAGTGATATTAATGGACTTGTAGAAAAGGATGCTGAAGGTGAAGCATATCATTCAGGTAGAGTAATTCAATACTCTAATTCAGGAGTAAATCATTGAAGTGACAAATTAAATAATTTTCCATAACAAAATTTGACATAAGACAACAACATTTGGTTTTGCTGTGATTCAACTGCAAAATGTTTGTTAAAAAAGTTTTTTTGATCAACCATCTTGAAAACACAGGTCTTATAAACAGTTGGTAATGATACAAATTAAGGAGGCTAATAACCTAATTCACACTGGAGCTAATGTTGTCACAGACATATTAAAACTTTCTAGACTCATGTTGAATATTGCCAAGGTCATGGAAAGATGATATATTTCCACAGTTCTGGCAGTTGTCTATAAGTTGTTGACTATAGAAGTAATTATTTTTGACTGGTTTTACAGGGACAGTTGAACATTTCTTGAATGTATCTCTCCTCATCTTTGCCATCTTGTTTAAATATGATTAGTGTTACTGCAGTTTAAATATAAGATATGAAACTGGAATAGCTGAGAATATATGGTTAAGAGGTTCTCATATATTCAGGTTTAAATGGGAAGAATCTGAAAATCCTCTTTAACTCTAAAGTGACATGCTGCAGAATTTAACACCACGATTCTGTACTAGGTCCAATATCTGGAATCTGCTGAAAAATTGTCACACCAAGCTGCAAGCAGTCTAGGAGTCTCTTGGAGAACACTGAGGATAACCTAATCCTAAAAAGCCCAACCAGATGAGATGTTTTGCTGGAGCCTTTGCTCACCAACTCAAAAGAACTTAAAGGAGAGGTCCATGGTAGCTGGAGCTGCAGTGATCATGCCCTGGTGAAAAAAATATGATCTCAAGGGATACAAGCCAGGCAAAAAGATCTTAAAATTTCAATGAGCAAACTTTCAGTTCTCTAAGGGAGTAGTAGCTGGTAGCCCTCAGGAAATTACCCTCAAGAATGAAGAAGCAGAAGACAGTTTTATTTTTCTTAGAGCAAAAGAGCTCTCACTTCCCATTTGCAGGAAATCAGGCAGCGAATACAAGACATCAGCATGCCTGAGTAAGGTCCTCCTGGTCAAATAAACACAAGGGAAATGTATACACAATGGAAGCAGGGACACATGTCTTGGGAAGAATTTGTCAAGTTTTTATGAATAATAACAAGGGCTTCCATAATTATCTTAATCAGAAAAGGAGAACAAGAGAAATTCTACCCCATTGATAAATGAGACAGGAAATCATGTGGCTGTTGACATGGAGAAGGCTGGCAACTTTTTTCCCCGGTTTTCACTGGTAATTGCACTTCCCATATCTCTCATGTCTCTGAATCTCAAGGTAAGGACTAGGGGAACGAAATCCCACATGTCATGGGGAACGATCAGACTCGTGAGTATCTGAGACACCTGACCATACAAAGTCCATGGGATCCAATGAGAGTCAGCCCAGGGTCCTAAAGAAATTGGCATAGGTAGTCACTAAGCTGTTTTCCAAAATATTTGAAAGTCATGACAGTCAGGTGAACTACCCAGTGACTGGATAAAGGGAAACATCACATCTATTTAAAAGAGGGTGAAAAGGAGAACCCTGAGAATTACCCACAAGTCAGCCTCACCTCTGTGCGTGGTAAAATTATGGAATGGATCATCCTGGAAACTATGGAAACTCTTTAATATTCTTTAATTCTTTCTATTAAATTCTTTAATATCAGGTAGGTGAGCCACTAGAACAAGTTGGTCAGAGAAGTTGTGAATACCCCATCCCTAGAACTGTTCAAGGACAGGTTGGATGGGGCTTTGAGCAACCTGGTACAGCAAAATCCACCACATCCATTGTAACTTGTTCAATTGATAAATTAATCCCATTTTTAAAGAATTTTTTCCTTATCCCTGTGCCACTGATTATGACCTTCTGGGATCTGCTGTTCAGCCAGTTCTCAATCTACCTCACTTTCCATTCTCCAGTTCGCACTTCCTGAGTTTGCCTATGAAGATGATGTGAGAGGCAGCGTCAAAAGCCTTGCTGAAGTAGAGGTAGACAATATTCACTGCTCTACTCTCATCCATCCAGATAGTTTTTTCATCATAGAAGGCAATCATGTTGGTCAAGCATGATTTACCTTTAGTGAATCCATGCTGATTAATCCTGATCACCTTTTTGCCATTCATGTTAACAGAGATGGCCTCCAGAATGAGGTATTGATGTAGGGTTGACAGGCTAGTAGTTCCCTGTGTTCTCCTGCTTGCCCTTTTTGGAGACCTGGGTGATATTTGCTTTCTTCCAGTCCTCAGGCACCTCTCCTGGTCACCACAACCTTTCAAAGATGATTATGAGTGGCCCCGCTACACTGTCTGTCAGCTCTCTCAGCTCTCGTGGATGCATCCTATCAGGTCCCATGGATCTGTGGATGTCACATTTGTCTAGTTGTTCTCTAACCCAATACCCCATGCCCAAGGGAGTCTTTCCTCCAAGATTCCTTTACCCTGATCTCCTGGATCAGAGATTCCTGAAGCTGGTCTTATCGGTGAAGTCCAATGAAAAGAAGGCATTCAGTAACTTTCCTTTCTCTGTGTCCTTTTTTATCATGATCTACTTCCTTATGGCCCCACATAATCCTCTGTTTTCCTTTTGTTATTGATGTATTTGAAGAAGGCCTCCTTTTCTTCCTTGACATCCTTGGCCAGATTTAATTACAAATGGATTCCTTCTCCTTTAGATTCAAATGATCTAAGGGTTGAAGAATGAAAAAAAAGCTGTTAGGGTATGTCTACTCCTTACCTACTTTCTCATAAGGTACTCATGGTAAATTAGAGGGCAATACTGATGAGCACCAAAAATTAACTAGAGCAAAAGGCTAATTGAGCATTATCAAATTTTGCTAAAATTAAATCAAGTGCCAATATTGTTGTCATCTTTAAAATTAAATGAGGTGACTGTGTAGATGTAAAGTCTAAATGTTTGAAACAAAAGGATCATTAGTATTAATGTCTATCATTTATTTTGCATATGTAGTGAAATATCACAGTACTTGGTGAGGTAGAGATACAAATGAAAATTTAATTGCTGATGTAAAGACATTTTGGATTTTAGCCAAAAGGTATTCTGGAAAAAAACCTCAATCATGTCCTACAAATTTTACTCAAGTGAGTAGTCCTGGAGACTCTGAAAAGGTGATTCATCAACAGAAGGAATAAAGAGAAAAGTATATGCAGAATCGAATTATAATATAGCAAAAGACAAGTTAAGGGTCATAAGCAAGAAGAAGAAACTGAGGGTATAGGCCTAAGAGGCTTGTTACAGAAAGAGTAAGCCTTCCCCTTACCTAACATGCACCAAAATCCTGACATGATGGTAACTTATGGATTGTGTGTGGGCTACCCAAGGGCAAATTCCTTTCAGCTGAACCAGACTGATCTTTCAACTCATTCAGGTCTCCACTGGGTTATGAACAGCTCTGGAACCAGGGAATAACAGATTAAAAGGGACCCTTATGGGTCATCCAGTCCAGCACCCTACTCAAAACAGTAGTGATTTCAAATGTAGGGGTTGATAGGGACTTGTCCAGATGAGTTATATCTGTCATGGTGTGTCTGTTTCACCACACTACTTGGAATAGGTTTTTCCTTAAACCCAGTGGGAAGCTCCCATCTTACAGTATGTGTCCTTTGCTTCTCTTCCCCTAGCTGTGCAACAACAAGGAACATTTGGTTCTCTTTTCTCTATTTTGATAGTTGAAGACAGTAATGAACTGCCTCCAAAGCTGTCGCTTCTCCAGGCCTGCCAAGCCCATCTCCCACAGCCTCTCCTTTTTCCCACAAAAGTTTGGACCAGATGATCTTTAGAGGTCCCTTCCAGCCGAGGCTGTTCTATGATTCCACATGACATAAGTGCTCCAGCCCCATCAATGAAGTCACACTGGTATATCCAAGTCTTTTTTTAACTCTTCCTAAATATTCACTTCAGTACAGTCATTTGTACATAACATCTTCTGCAAAAGGCTATGCAAGAATGAAGCCTCACAAACGACCACCCAAAATTCAAAGGTAGCAATGTTCTTGCATCATAATTATGAGTGACATTCAGCAGAGAGATGGCAGCACCAAAAAAAGGTTAGGTCACCTTTATTTTACATGAAA